TATTTCAAAATTTATACTTTGATCATATAGGATGAAATAAACGGATAACAGATACCTTCAAATTGGAAAAATATGCTTACGAGGAAATAGTGATGATTGTTTTTTTTTATATAAAAAAAGATAATGGAACATCTTTTTCCATGTTCATAGTTATGCACCTTTTGTTGAAAGTCTCTATGTTTTTTTTTTTAAGACACGCAATAAGGGTGTTAATTTTCTTTTTAAGAAGACTAAATTGATAGAATAACTATCGTTTACAAAAAGCAAGTAAGTATCCTAGATCACACGGCATTCCAGAAGGTGGCAGTAATACTCCAAACATTATGCTACACAATGTTATTGCAAGAGAAGAAGAAGGAGGAGAAGACGAGAAGAAGAGGAAGCAGCCATTCTATTTGATCATATGACGTGAATTGTCATTAGCAGTACGTTATTTACAATGGCGGCGTCTGTCTTCCACAGAGTGAGAACAGGGTCCAAACTTGGCGTTCAGTACAATGAGGAAGGCCAGCTGATTCAGGTAGGGCCAGGGATCTGACAGGCTTCATCTTGTTCGCCTTGAAGAGCAAAACGTGCAGCGTTAAAATAGCATAGGATAGGATAATTAAACCAGGGCTTCTCCTCGTTCACTCCCGTTGCTCTGAATTGATCTGCTTCATTAATGTTTTTTTTAGGTGGAGAGCAGGGAGGATGAGGAGCAGAGCGTGAAGCTGGCGGAAATCCTGGAACTGTTGTTGGCTGCGGGATACTTCCGGGCCCGTATCAAAGGCCTGTCCCCGTTTGATAAGGTGCAGTATTCACCGCCCTCTCTCCGGGTACTCCGGCTTCCTCCCACAGTCCAAAAACATGACCGTTAGGTTAATTGGCTTCTTTAAATTCTCATTAGATGTGAGTATGTGTGAACGGTTGTTTGTCCTGTTTGTCTCTGTGTTGCCCTGCGATGGACTATTGACCAGGGTGGACCCCGCCTCTCCCCTCACCCCTCGCGAACCCAGCAGGGATAAAGCCTGACAGAAAATGGATGGATGCACGCCTATATTTTAATTGTTTGTTAAAAGTCTCACGTGATAAAAAGTGTCTGTCTTCTTTAAGGTGTTGAAAAGACCAAATGGTTTTCTCCAACCAGTTTTGTGGAAAAAGTCTAAAAGAAACGTTTTATAGTCAATAATTTATAGAGTTCTGGTCACATTTTATTAGAGAAGTAATCCTGGTACTGGGCCCATTTGGCTTAAGGGGTTTATGCAAAGCTGAGGGCTGCACGCATTTCTGTACTACTAACTATTCTTTAATCAGTAACCAAGGATTTCAGGACATCTGCTTAACTTTTTGTAGCATGCTGTGCATTGGATTAAAATAGATTTCTGCTGGCTCCTTTCACTATTTGACCTGTACGAACCTCATGGACAGGAACTCAGATCATTTTTGGGCTGGCTAAAAGTTTGCTAAGAGGGTAAAACATTTTTAATCATGAGATGAAACTTATTTCTGTCCTATCACACCCCATAAACTAAAGCCAAGAACTGTCAGCATAAAATGAAGCCTTTGGAAAATTCATTATGTATGCCTCAACCAAGGTTGTAAATTCCTTCTGTGTCTTTCTTTTGTAACCCTCACAGCACTTTAAAGGGTAATTTCTTGATTTTAATAGGCTTTACTTTTAGGTGTCCTCTTATTTAATGAAGTTGTTCTCTCTGAGTTCATTCTTCCTTTCTTACTCCACAGGTTGTTGGTGGAATGACCTGGTGCATAACCACGTGTAATTTCGACATAGACGTAGATCTGCTATTCCAAGAGAACTCCACCATTGGTCAGAAAATGTAAGTGATATGGTGGCGGCACTTTCTTAAATCAGTTTCATGTTGACTTCCTGCCTCAGTTTAAATACAGCAGTGAAGTATGAAGTCCTTTATCTAGATTTTAAAGTTTTTATTTTTAGCTACAGGTTACTAAGGAGATTTCTTTTCAACGCACCAGAATTGTCTTTGTTTTTGTTATGCACACACAGGAGAATATTTTGTCCATAATGATTTTTAGTTTGGGGCATAAATGAGGTTAAACAACAGGTTCTTTTATGGAGCTGTTGAGGTGTTTTAGGCAGCCAGTTAATTGTGCATGCATTAAAATGGTTCATGTTTGTTTTTGTTTTCTTTGTTTATTCAGAGCCCTGACAGAGAAAATAGTTTCTGTTTTGCCAAAAATGAAGTGTCCTCATCGCCTTGAACCCCATCAGATCCAAGGCTTAGATTTTATTCATATTTTCCCAGTGATCCAGGTAAGTTTTTATTTATGTTTTAAAGTTTCATCATCATTTCATATCAGATGGTGCAGAGCTTTATGCTGACTGATCACAAGTAGAGCTGACTGATGAAGACTTTCCCTTGCCTGCAAACCTGTGGGGCTCGGGGGGGGTTGAGTCAGGCCAAAGGTTAATTCAGTGTGTAGCTAGCTTGTTTCCCCATATAACCTAAATAAATAAACTGAGCTGATAATTTATTTAGCATTTTATTTCCTAATGGAAAGATAATGCAGTAGTTTAAATCCTGTAATGATGGACAGAGAAATGTGTAAAGTATGAAGGAGAGAGGGACCTGTACCCTGATAAACCAGACTAAATGTGAGATTAAATGTGTAAGTTAGTCTGGCCCCGATGAATGAGAGGAAGATTGTGGATGACAACAACCCGTTGTTTTTCAAACCATGTCTGTGCCTGTTGGCCAAAGCTCTGACCAATGAGCACCACTGACTGTAAACACGACAGAAAACTGCTGGGGGAGTAGTTAGGGCATAGAGCAAACAGCCTGTCGGTAAAACGTAAATGCGTCCTTCTTATAAATGAGCCCAGAGTCTAGAGCCTCTTCCTGCTCAAATTTCAACGAAAATCACATGTCTAATCCTTCCAAAACTGATTCCAAAGCTGAGTCAAACGAGAACTTCAATGGGTGTTGCCATCTTCTTTGTTGTGCTTTCTTCAGCGTCTCGCAACTTTGTCGTCCAGCCCCCAAAACCCCGCCCGCTTTGCATCCAGAGATTCAAAACACATCTATGTGTTGTGATTGGCCTGCCAGTTGTAGGACCTGGGGCATTGATTGAGGTTAGACCATTTGTAGGTAAAAATGATTTTGGCCGCTGGCGGGTGGGGCCTCTGTACCAGGCTAAGGGACCTGAGGATGTGGGCTAAAAATGACTCCTGCTTGTTGACTGTAGACACCAACAGCTCCGTTCTTAGCCTTTAGCAGAATGAGGCTAAGAATGAGAGGCTATCCCACTAGAGGTGTCAGGAAGATGTTAGCTTTTTTTTTAACATTAAATATGATGGTAGTGCAGAATACTATCCCTAA